TAAGTGGGCAATTATCTGTGAACACTCCATATTAATCTATCCTTTTGCTCAGCAGTTTTGCTTCTGGAAGTTTACTGAACAGAGATACCTACACAGAACTAAATGACCACATACATAAGGTTATTTATGAAAACAAAGGCCCTAGCAACCATTAAATACTGGCCTGATTAAGTAAACTAAGGTACGTTCATAGACTGGAACAATATGCAATAGAAAAAAAAGAATGAGGCTGGGCAGGGTGGCTCACACCTGTAATTCCAGCACTTTGGGAGCCCGAGGCAGGAGGATCTCTTGAGCCCAGGCGTTCAAGACCAGCCAGGGCAACATAGTGAGACCACCGTCTCTATAAAAAATAAAAAAAAAAATAAAAAATAAAAGAATGAAGAAACTCTGATATGAAAGGATCTCTCTAAAATAAGATATAGAACAGTATGGAGATACTGCTTTTGTAGGGGAGAAAGTAATAAATAAGGAAGAAATTTTAAAAATCTTTATACTGGGCCGGGTACGGTGGCTCACGCCTGTAATCCCAGCACTTTGGGAGGCCAAGGCGGGTAGATCATGAGGTCAAGAGATCAAGACCATCCCGGTCAACACGGTGAAACCCCATCTCTACTAAAAATACAAAAAATTAGCTGGGCATGGTGGCGCGTGCCTGTAAACCCAGCTACTCCGGAGGCTGAGGCAGGAGAATTGCCTGAACCCAGGAGGCGGAGGTTGCGGTGAGCCGAGATCGCGTCATTGCACTCCAGCCTGGGTAACAAGAGCGAAACTCCGTCCCAAAAAAAAAAAAAAAATCTTTATACTGGTATTTGTTGTAGATGCATTTATAAATTTAGAAGAATATACAGGAAATTAACCTTTATGGTTGTAGGAGTGGGAGGAAAGAACAGGGTAGAGGGAGAACAGGATGGGAAGGGCTTTTACTATACATATTTTAGATTTGTTTTAACGATATAAAAATGAATTATCTACGCAAAAAAATTTTAGAAGTCTGTGTGAAGAAGGCTCTGCCCCAGTTCCCTCCCCAGCCAAGTTCATCTGCCCCATGTACTCTTCCACACACCTGTCTATCCCCACCTGTCCACCACCTTCCGCACACAGCACTCAGGTCCTGTGTCCCCAAGGTCTTCTGTGAAGTCACATTCATGCATTATGTTTCATCTATTTGTTGGAAGTTTTAAATATGCTCTGACCTACCAGTTTCCTTCCTTTCCTTCTAGAAGAAGACAACAGTATTTTACACTGTGCCTTGTAATGACTAAGTAACTTGCTTTTTTGTTGTTTTTGTTTTATTTTATTATTATTTCTACATTTAGAGATGGGATCTTGCCACATTGCCCAGGCTGGCCTTGAACTCTTGGGCTCAAGCAATCCTCCTGCCTTAGCCTCCCAAGTGTTTGGATTTCAGGTGTGAGCCACTGCATTCGGCCAAGTAACTTGCTAAAAGTCACCGAGGCAGAGCTGGAGCCCAAACCAGCTCTGAGCTGTTCTAAGTCCATTCTCTCCACTATGCTTATGTTGCCTGCTCCCAGCGACTCCAATTACTGCAGAAGGCGATGTCTCCCTTGGCTTTCTTGAATTACTACTAGAGTTCAGTGACAGACAATCACATGCTACAGGAAGAAAGGGAGTAAGAGAGGAAAGAAAGAAGGGAGGGAGGAGAGAGGGCAGGAAGGAGTCGGGGGAGGGTACTCACTCTTGCAGAGACCGGTCTGAGTCCTCAGCGTTTGCTGTGCCCAGGTCTGAGTCGTAGGACATGGGCTCCTCACAACAGTCTGGACTCTTGGAGCCATTCTCTTGGAGTAAGCAGCTATCAGAGTTTAGGCTGCAGGACAGCTGGGATGAACTGGCCGTGTCCAGGCTGAGGGACGAGGCAGTGAGCTTCTGGTTCCTTCGGATCTTATGACCCGAGTGCTGGACTTCAATGTCCTCAGAGCCTGAGGAATGGGAAATGGAATCCAGAGACTCCTTCCGCTGTAGTTCTGCACCAGAGGTAGAGAGAGGGTCCAGCTCAGAAAGCGGGCAAAGCCCAGACAGGGCCAGTGGGGTAAGCGTCCACTCATTTAAGATGGCAGACTTGTAGGAGAGTTCGAAGGACAAGGACGTGAGGCCCTGCAGGAAGCTCAGGAGGAACTCGCTCTCCTCGGCGTCCCGGAGCAGGGCAGTGGGCTGGTAGTACTCGCGCAAGCGGGCCTGCTCCTCCAGCAGCAGCTTCAGGTAGCACTCCATCAGGCCATCATTCAGGGCCAGCCGTAGCCATGCCCGGCAGCGGCCCACGTCCGTGTTGACAAATGTCAGGTGCTCCAACTCTGAGATGATGTGTCTGCAAAGGGAGAACAGATGTGTTTCAAGAAACTACCCCAAATCATGGAGATGTGCTTTTATCCCCTGGTTAGCAGGAACGAGGAATAACCACTGCAAATAGATACAGGGATGAAGAATTCTTGGATCACAGTGTTTTAGGCCAAATGTGGTGGCTCACACCTGTAATCCCAGCATTTGGGACGTCAAGGCAGGCGAATCACTTGAGCTGAGGAGTTCGAGACCAGCCTGGGCAACAGGACAAAACTCTGTCTCAACAAGAACAACAAGACAGCCAGATGTGGTGGCCTGCACATGTAGTCCCAGCTACTCAGGAGGGTGAGGTGGGAGGATAGCTTGAGCCTGGGAAGCCGAGGTTGCAATGAGCTGAGATTGCACCACTACACTCCAGCCTAGGCAACAGAGTCAGACCTTGTCTCAAAAAAAAAAAAAAAAAAAAAAAAAAAAGCCAGGTGCGGTGGCTCACGCCTGTAATCCCGACACTTCGGGAGGCCAAGACAGGCGGATCACGAGGTCAGGAGTTCAAGACCGGCCTGAACATGGTGAAACCCCGTCTCTATTAAAAATGCAAAAAAAATTTGCCAGGCGTGGCGGTGGCACACACCTGTAATCCCAACACTTTGGGAGGCCAAGAAGGGTGGATCACGAGGTCAGGAGTTCAAGACCAGCCTGAACAACACGGTGAAACCCCGTCTCCACAAAAAATACAAAAAAAATTTGCCAGGCGTGGCGGTGGCACACGTCTGTAATCCCAGCTACTCAGAAGGCTGAGGCAGAAGAATCACTTGAACCTGGGAGGTGAAGTTGCAGTGAGCTGATATTGCATTATTGCATTCCAGCCTGGGTGACAGAGCGAGACTCCATCTCAAAAAGAAATATAGAAATATTAAGCTATAACCCCCAACCTTTTGAGATTGGAATTGTGAAAGATAATTTCCATGTTCATTCCAACTACCCCTGGGCCTCGGACATCATCTGCTCATCCAAGGCATTCTGTCAGAGCTCCCTAAGTGCAATGTCCTTGGAGCGGTGAAGATGCAGGGTAAAGACATGGTCCCGGGCCGGGCGCGGTGGCTCAAGCCTGTAATCCCAGCACTTTGGGAGGCCGAGGCGGGTGGATCACGAGGTCAAGAGATCGAGACCATCCTGGTCAACATGGTGAAACCCCATCTCTACTAAAAATACAAAAAATTAGCTGGGCATGGTGGCGTGTGCCTGTAATCCCAGCTACTCAGGAGGCTGAGGCAGGAGAATTGCCTGAACCCAGGAGGCGGAGGTTGCGGTGAGCCGAGATCGCGCCATTGCACTCCAGCCTGGGTAACATAAGTGAAACTCCGTCTCAAAAAAAAAAAAAAAAAAAAAGACATGGTCCCTACCCTCAGGCACAAAAGACTGATGAAAAAAGGCATAAAGGGTAGGATATCAACAACCCTGTAAGAGGATTAGGGAGGGGTCCAATGACAGCACGTGGAGGAAGAGTGGGTGATTTGGTTGCAAGGCCAGGAAAGAGAGGGTCTTGAATATCAAACCAATAAGGCAACACAGGGGAACGGTCCCACACCCAGGCCATCCACCAGAATCCCTGGGGAACTTAAGCAGGATACAAATTCTGGAGCCCAAACCTAGTGAATCAGACTCTAGGCTAGTATTTGGGAGCCTGGGGCTACAGATTTTTATTTAGAAAAGTGACTTGACTGGTTTGACTGGCCAGGCGCAGTGGCTCACACCTGTAATACCAGCACTTTGGGAGGCCAAGGCGGGCGGGCCACCTGAGGTCGGGAGTTTGAGACCAGCCTGACTAACATGGAGAAACCTCTTCTCTAATAAAAATAGAAAATTAGCTGGGCATGGTGGCTCATGCCTATAATCCCAGCTACTCAGGAGGCTGAGGCAGGAGAATTGCCTGAACCTGGGAGGCGGAGGTTGTAATGAGCCGAGATTGCGCCATTGCACTCCAGCCTGGGCAACAAGAGCGAAACTCTGTCTTAAAAAAAAAAAAAGTGACTTGACCACAATCATGCAGACTGCAGGGCAGATGTTCTGCATGAGATCAGACCCCAGGTGTACCAAACTCAGTCCTGGAATGCCTCGGTCTGATGTACATGCCCCTCCTCTGAGCTACCACAGTCCCTTGTGCGTTTCTATCTCCCCCACGGGAATATACACCGCACTCCAGTAGGCTCAGTGAGTAAGCTCCGGGAGCTTCAGCTCAGTAAATGTTGACCAG